AGACAGCTGCAACTGGAGTAAAACTTGCTGCGAAGGGTACTGCACGGCGTACACGGATGGCACGTGCGTATGCGTCGGAGAAGGCGGCACTTGTGGGCTCCAGCACGGCTGCTGCCCTAACTACAAATGCGACGGCTACTTTTCCGGCACCTGCATCTCCCGGAGCCAAGGCCTGCAGCTTTCTGCTGCCATAACTACGACGTCGTCTTAAACCATATCATATATATCTGCTGGCCGCATATATACTACGACGTGTAGTATTGATGCATGCGTGCATGAAGCCCTACTTGCTAATCTGTGTGTGTATCTTTTCTATGTATATGTAATGAAAAATAAAACCAATAAGTTTTTCACTTTTGATCAAAATTAAGGTTTTGACTTTTGAACTACTCGCATTCTGTGTTTTGTGCTTTTTGACCGCGTGGGCACGTTGAGATCGTAATAAATCGGTGTGAAATTAAGGTTTTGACTTTTGAACTTTACAAGAATGTCAAGGAACCAATTTAACCACAAGTTCAATCTTGTGCTTGTGGCTCAGTATGAGTTATTTTTAACACGCTCCGGCCCCTCACGTGCAGGCAGGTCTTTTTCGAGTCTTGGACGTGAAACTTTAATTTTCTTAAAACTGGGTAGCGTTGAGTTTCGAACTCGTGACCTCTTAGTCATCAAGACTTTGATACCATGTCAAGGAACCAATTCAACCACAAGCTTGAGCTTATGGTTGAATTGGTTCCTTGACAAAGAATTCTTTCTTTCTTGTTCTACATATATTTTTCTATTAAAAAACTACTTTTACTCTTATTTATTTTTAACCTATACGGAGTATATCGCATCGTATCTTTTTATTAATAATCTATATATCGCATCTTACTTTTTATTTATAACATCAAGGATATTTTTGGAAAGCCAATACAAAATTGGACAACCAAAAGCATCAAAAGTAACTTGTTATTATTAAAAAAATTGAAGTAATAAAAGTAATTAAGAGTGACTTACAATAATTAAAAATGGAACAATAATAAATATAGATTAACTAATTGTATGAAGAAGAGAAGATTCTTCGCATGTACTTCCTCGGTTTCACAAAACACTTCTATCTTTTTTTTTGCGCATGCATACCTCAAAATACTTCTATCCCAAAATACACTTCCATTTTGTAATTTATTACTGGTAAAATTTGTTTTCAAAGTATTTTAGACATTTTAGATAGAGTAGAATGAAATGTTTTATAGGGTGCACAGAAAATTAGGGCGGAAACGGAGGGAATATTTATTATGGAAATTAAAAAAATGCATAGAATAATAACTTTAAGATTAACAGAAAGACCAATCATGCAATGCTAACGGGACTTGAAAGATCATTCGTAAAATTTTAAAGTCTAACAACTAACCGTGGATGACTTAATAACTTGAAAGATCAATGGTAAAGTTTAACCTCTTTTTTAAAAAAACATGTACCCCTACGTCCCATAAAAAGAGGGACATTTGACTAAAGTGGCAAAATGAGGAAGGGATAATATTGTGCTGGCTTTCCAAAAATACCCTTGATGTGATGAGTAAAAGTAGAATGTGCTATGTAGATTATTAGAAAAATGTATGATGTGATAGTTAGGGTATGAAAAAAGTAAGGGATAAAAGAGGTTTTTTAATAGAAATGGGAGGGAGATTATGGAACACCAAGGACTTTTTGAACGGAGAGAGTATCAACCAAATAAACATATTTTTCTTAAGAAATATTTGCACTAAATAACACTAAAATTTAAGTCATTTCTCTAAATAGCACTTAATAATGTCCATACTGTCTAGTGGCATGATGACAAATTTTTACTTGAATAATGACTAATACATAATGACTAAAAGTGCTACGTTGGGAAGAAAAATACATATAATGTTATTTAGTAAAAATCACTATGTTTTGGTGCTATTTAAGTAAATTCCTCTTTTTCTTAATCTTCATGTCACTTCCATTTACTCCATCGGTACCGTAACTAGACTTTGAATTTATGGTTGTGTTTTGAGGCAATAGCGTGTTACATATACTCCATGTGAAATTTGCACTAAATAGGACTAAAACATAATGACTTTTCTAATGTAGGACTTAAACTTTTTTATTCCCTAAATAAGACTTAATAATGACCTTGTGGGAGAATTAATGTTCAGTAATGATGGACATTTAGTTGAATAATGACTACATGATAATGACCAAAGGTCCTACATTGGGAAATAAAAACATATAGTCCTATATTGGGAAAGTCATTATGTTTTAGTCCTATTTAAGTAAATTACTCATACTCCATCCGTCCCATTTCCCATAACTAAAGAATGAAGTAATAATCGTATACGTAGTAACTACGTACTCCCTTAGTCCCTCAATTTTAGTCCACTTTCATTTTTGCACACTATGCAATACACTTCTTTAATTAATTCATTTTATCTTGTAATTTGTTATTAAAAAATTATAGAAATTATATATTAATAATCTATATGTTAAGAAAAATCAAACAAGATCACAGTTCAAAAGTCAAAAGTGGACAAAAACTGGGGGACAGAAAAAGTAATAAACTACTATCCTCCCACACCATGCATGCATGCGGCATGGCTCGAATGTACCTTTTCCTATGTAATACTCTTCCCTCACACAAAATTTTTCTCTATTTTTCTTTTATTGGTCTCAAAAAACTTTTCTCATTTCTATTTAAAAGTTATTTTTACTCATATTAATTCTTCAACTACCTATCAAAGCACATTTTTTCATTATTAATCTACCCGTCACATCTATTTTTACATATCACATCCAAGGACATTATTGTTAGAAAGTCAATACTAAAATAGACTCATCATAAATCTCTCAAAATTCAAAACAAGAAATGTTTTTTTTGAGGGACGGAGTATATATAAATACGGAGTAGTATATATTCCCTCCGTCCCAAAAAGATTGGTACATATTGACTTTTTGGGAAATTAAGGGAGGGATATTTTGGTGTTGACTTTCCAAAAACACCCTTGATGTGATGGGTAAAGTAGGATGTGATGGGTAGATTATTAGGAAAAAGGTATGATGTGATAGGTAGGATATGAAAAAAAGTAAGGGGTAAAAGTGGTTTTTTAATAGAAATGTAATAGACTTTATGGGACACAGTTTTTTCGAAACGTGTTAGACTTTTTGGGACGGAGGGAGTACAATTAATTAGGCTAGCTAAGAAAGTGGTAACTAAACAAGTTTCGCATCAAGATTCGGAAAGTGTCCAGTGGGCGGCTCACTTTACACTTTAGTGATACTTGTATTACGCTTGTATTTAAAAAGGTACGAAGTAGCTATAGAAAGGTACGAGTGACTGGTGCCGGCAGGCAGTGCCGCCCAATCAATTAAGGTGGCCCTGTACAACTCAATAATTCAAGGCTCTAGAATATAAAAAAGGAGCGGGATCTCTCGACTGCTTTACGTTTTGCATACCTAGATTCATATTTTCTTATTTTAGGAGGCATATTAGAATTAAATATATGAAGAAACAATAAAACCTGGGATAAGCAAATAGAGTGTGCAACACTGCAGTAGACAGAAATGGATGAAGAGAGGAATTTCAAATCTTGATATCTTTGATGAATGATGAGCTATAGCCTTCAAACTCTTATTAATTCTGAAAAAAATCAATGATTAAAACCAAAGTTAGAATGGAACTACTGGTCTTGCAAAATTAAAGAAGAAACACTAATTTATAACATTAAGAGACAATTAAACGATAAAATGAATCATTTAAGATTTTAAGATGCAAAATAAATTAAATTTCTAACACTAAAATAATTTTCAAACAAATCTAAACCACCTAAATTGACTTCCGTGCACAAAAAAAAAACCCAGCAAAATTGAATTTTCATTGAGAAAATGAAAGTAGCATGGTCAATTTGAAGGGAAAAAACAGAGATAAAAATTAAGAACTCACCAAATAAGAAGAAATTGAGGAATTAATCGGCAAAGGAAAGAAGAGGGCTGATTTGCGATATAAAAAGAGGATGAATCGCTGGGAAGATGAGAAAAAGTTCCGTTAGACGCTGCGGAGGAACCGAAGACTCGAAGAGCCGAAGAGTCTGGAACTGAGGAACTCATCGGTCTTTTGCTTTCCTTTAGTAATATATTAGGTAATGGGCTTATAATTACTATTGCGAAGGTTATTGCACGGCGTGGACTAACGGTTACTGCACCTGCGTCGGAGAAGGCGGCACTTGTGGGATTCAGCACGGCTGTTGCCCTAACTACAAATGCGACGGCATCTTCTCCGGCACTTGTAAGAGCCGTTAATTATTCTATGTTTATTACGATGTACTCCATATGACTAAGTATTTAGGGATTTGCTACGGTGCCTTCCCAAATAAAGGGGCATGGATGCCCCTCCACTCAATTGCCGCCATGTGGATTGCTAACTACTTGGATTGATAAAGCATTTCATACTCCATATCACTTTAGCTTCGAGAAATTGCAAAATGGTCCTCTCCACTTAATGTTAAGTTACTAATCTTTTATGGAGTATTATTTTAACCGTTAAAAAGTTATTCACTCAATTCAATTTTTAATAACTTATATTGTCTTAGTCCTTGTATATTTTTTCATTTTGACTTTTTACTTTTTAGAGTCAAATTGAATAAATTTTAAGTTTGAATTGCTCTCAATTTGTATTGTACTACCTCCGTCCCTAAATATTTGCCACATTTGTATTTCCAAGGCAAAATATCAAACTTTTTCAATTCATTTTATTTACATATTGATATAGAAATAAAAAATAAAATTTACATATCAAAAAACTACATGAAAAGTTATTCGAAATAAGAGGTGTCAGGAATATTTTATTTTATCAAATAACCATTGAAAACTTAGAAATAAACAAAAGTTCTCGCGACTGCTGAAAAAGCAAATGTTGTGAATATTTTGGGACGGAGGGAGTATATTAGGACAATAAAGTAAAATTTTGAAAGTTCTCATTAAAATAAATCTAAGAAAAATCATTTTTATACTAATATTATTAGAGTATATAAAATCATTCCTGAGCCACAACCACAAACTTAAGCTTTTGGTTAAATTGATTTCCTGATATCGTATCAAAGCTTTAATGACTAAGAGGTCACGAGTTTGAAACCCACTGCTACCTAATTTTAGAAAAATTAAAGTTTCACATGCAAGACTTAAAAAAGTCATGCCTGTACGCGAGGGGCGTGTTAGAATTTATAAAATTATTTATAGGCCACAACCACAAACTTGAGATTTTGGTTGAATTGGTTCCCTAACAAATATACATTAAATTTTTGTTTTTATAAATCTCAAAGTTCATCATGTTTGACTTCGAAAAGTCAAAGTAGACAAATACACTGGAATGAAAGAAATATTTGTTTGCATATTTTCATTTATCATTTGATAAGATAAAATATTTTGTCACATCTTATTTTGTTAAACTTTTGATGTAGTTTTGAACAATGTTACTTTTTTATATAACTATTTGCGAATAAAGGTAATTTTAAAAAAGATTTGATAAGATAAAATATTCTTGTCACATCTTATTTTGTTGAACTTTTGATGTAGTTTTGAACAGAAAATTACTCACGGGTGACGCGAGTTTTGTTGAAATAACTCTCAGGTCCCTCTATTTTCAAAAACACAGCAGAGGTCCTTACATTTTGTTGTAATGACTGGAAGGGGACATTTCATCCAATATTTCATCTATAAACATTAATAAATGTATTTTTTTCCTATTCTTTTCTAAATGTTTTAAGGTAATAATTCTTAGGTCGCTCCTTTTTTTATTTCTTTGTTTTTCTTTCATTTTGTTACTATTTTTTAAAAGTGTTATTTTAGAATTTCTTCTATAAAATCGTATAAAAATTCAAAATTGTTTGTATTATATTAAAACAAATGAAATAAAAAAAATTTAAAAAAAGAAAAAACAAGGTAATGGCAAAATAGGGAAAAAAAATATTGGAAAAATAAGAAAAAAAATTCATTTATTAACACTTACGGATGATGTATTGGATGGAATGTCCCCTCTCAGTCATTACAACAAAATATAAGGACCTTGGTTGTCTTTTTGAAAATAGAAGGACCTGAAAGTTATTTCCACAAAACTCGCGTCACCCGCGAGTAAATTTCTGTAGTTTTGAACAATGTTACTTTTTTATATAACAATTTGCGAATAAAGGTAATTTTAAAAAAGATAAGATTTTGCACGTTGTTCAAAATGAGAAGATAAAAATGGACGGAGCGAGTAAATTTTCTTAGAAATATTTACATGAATAATCCTAAAAATTCGTAAATGTACGTTAGTAATCCAAAAATCAATAAATTACACTACATGTTACAATGTTAACTGGTGGCTACAAACCCAGCTAAATACTACGTACATGAGATTTTAAATGTTAACTGAAAAAAGTCAAAATTGAACAAATACTTAGGGACAGATGTAATACTTCATGTGTATTTAGTTGCCAACTCATACTTATTAATTGTCTAATTAACATTTTAAATATCACGTATTTAGTTCAGTTGGCAGCAGTTGGATAAAAATGTGAATATGTACTACTTCTGTCCCTAAGTATTTGTCCAGTTCTGACTTTTTGCAGCCAACTATTTTAAACTTTTCACCTAACATTAAATAAAATATATATGAAATATTAATAAGATAAAATTATATTATGAAAATAGATTATAAAATAAATCTAATAAAATTATTTTTGTATCAATATCTAATACTCTTTTAATTATGGTAAAAGCTTACAATTTTTTTTTGAAGTATTCATGTAATTATTTCTAAAAAATATTAAAAAAAGAGTATTCAAAAAAATTAATACTCCATAAAATGAAGTAAATTAACATTAATGATTTTACAATCAATTAATTAATGGACAGAGTGAGGCAGGGCCATTTTGTATTTTCTCAAAGTTCAAGTGATATGGAATTGTTTTTTAATCCACGTAATTAGCCTTCCATATGGGAGCAATTGAGTTGAGGGTACATTGTTGTCATCCAAGTAAATTAATACAAACTTATTACTCCCTCCCTCTCTAAAAATCTTCCCCTTTCATTTTTTTATTGTTTCCAAAAGATGTTCTCTTACCTATTAAAAAAGTACTTTTACCCTTACTTTTTCATATCTTACTTATCACATCATGTCTTTTTTTAATAATTTACACATCACATCTTATTTTTATCTATTATATTAAGGGTATATTTGGAAAGTCAACATAAAAATATCCATCTCTTAAATCCTTAACAAGTCAATAAGGGAAGATGTTTCAGGGACGAAGGAAGTAGTAGAATAATATTGGGATTAGCGAGTTGTGATTTTCTTCCAGAGGCCATTCTTTTACCCGTCGTTGTAGTTGTACGAGTTTGTTCTCAACAGTCTTTCAAAAAAAAAGGTTTGATCTCAACAGCTACAATCGAGGGATGTACTCCATCCGTTCCATAAAATCTTCTCCTTTCGTTTTTTTCCCAATTCCCTAAAACATTTTCACCTTCTATTAAAAACCATTTTTACCCTTATTTTTTCATACTCTACCTATTCAATCATATTTTTTCACTAATAACCAAACTATCACATCTTACTTTTTTACTCATCACATCAGGGGCAAAATTGGAACAAAAATTACACTTTCCTTATTTTGGCGCAAAGTCAAAATGGGAAGAGTTTAAAGGAACGGAGGGAGTAAAAGTTACGAAGAATAGTTCATTTTATTGTACGAGAAAAATCTACTTCTGTACCTGAAACATCTTCTCTTCTTGACTTTTTGAGGATTTAAGGGATGAATATTTTTGTTAGATATAATCGGGTTTGTTCACATATAACCGAATGGGTAATGGGTCAATGTTCGGGTCAGTTAGTATAGAGTCAATTAGTGTGGTGTCATTTAGTGTGTTTTACATATTTAATTAATTTAAAAAACAGTGGGTAGTTTCTAAAAGGCAGTTATGGGTAGTTTCTATTGTTAATAGGTGTGTTGGTTTGTAATAGTTGTGTTGGTTAGTAAAAGTCATGTTGGTCTGTTCTCTATTTATATTTAGAGAACACAAATAATCCTGTACAGTTTTTACATCAATAAAATATTCTACTTTGCTTTGATTTGGTTGGTCCTGTCTAACAATTGGTATCGGAGCGAAAATCCAATAAGGACCCAACGATCAAAAGGAGCGGTTTGTCTTGTGATCAAGAGTTGTATGATCGGGAGTAGAAGGGCTGCCAGATCATAATACAAAGTGTTAGAGACTTCCTAGACAACAGATCAAGAATCTTCGACAAGATTCTTCCTCGCCTAGGACAAAAATAGCAGGGGGCTAGTTTTTTCCTTTGGCAGAAGCATTCCATCCAAACAGCGCGGGAAAAACGAATCAGCGGGGTAGCTTTCGTTTAGTGGCTTGGAAGACGGAAAAGCATGGGCTTGCTTTCTGGTTGATGGTGGATTGCAGGTGGCTTACGACCCGGGAAGGAATCGAAGTTAAGAATTTTGTGAAAATTGTCGAAGGAATAAAAGTCATGCAATGGGAGAACAACAAAAATAGACAGATTGTGACTACAAGGGAGAATGGTTAACAGTTTGCCAACCTTAACCCGAGGAAGAAGGTATGCAAGGTAAACTACTATTCACTAAAAGTGATGGAAAAGAGAAGGTTAAGGAGCACAAAACTAAGCATTGTGGTTGCTGGAGCTCAAACCTATAAGACTTTGGACGTGGCCGAGGTAGAGGTCGGGGGTCCGGGAAAAGTTGGGATGGTGGACAGTTTCAGCGAGAAAAGAGTCACATTAGGTGCTTCAAGTGCAATGAGTTAGGGCATTTTTGAACGAATGTCTAAAATGGGATCAAAAGGAACACATTGCAAATTTGATTAAAGATGATGATGAACCAACGTTGCAGTGAAGATCAGTGTGAACAAACAACGATTAGGGGCGTGATTGTTAGATATAATCGGGTTTGTTCACATATAACCGAATGGGTAATGGGTCAATGTTCGGGTCAGTTAGTATAGATTCAATTAGTGTGGTGTCATTTAGTGTGTTTTACATATTTAATTATTTTAAAAAACAGTGGGTAGTTTCTAAAAGGCAGATATGGGTAGTTTCTATTGTTAATAGGTGTGTTGGT